AGATCGGATCCAAATCACCCCCTATCCGATTTGAGAAGATCCAATCAAAATTGTTTATATTGTATTTTTGTAAATTTTTTATATTATTTAATACTTACAAAAAAAAAACATGTATAAATATGAAAACTATAATTAAAAAATACTTGTATTTCTGTTTTTTATTTAAATTGGTATATTTTATTTTTATTTTAAAAATTTATTAAAAATTAAAGAAAAAAATAGTACCGAATCATATCCAAAGATCTGACTTCTCGCTTGGATTCAAATTCAAATCCTTCCCTATCGGATCGAATCTATCATGAACAGTATTGAATTGAATTCGGATATACTTTGATTCGAATATGATCTGAACTGTTTGCACCCCTACTACTTATGTAGAGAGAGATAGAGAGATACTCCTAAATATTCCAATGATATCATTAATAGATAACAACATTCGAAGAAACCCAACAAAATAGAGTAAAGACTTAAAAGAACATAGGAATTTCAAAGTAGATGGTTATCATTTTCAAAACTTTAAAGAAAATTTCTTGAGAAAAAGAAATATTAAAGTATGTATTATAGCTCAAGAGTACAAATCTAAGCAATCCCTTCAAAAGAAAGATGAATAAAATATTAACTAAAGAAAGTCGAGGTTATGCATTCAAGAGAAGAGAATCTCGATTAGAAGTTACCCTAAAAAAATTTCTTCAACGTGTGTCTTAAATCAATTGAGCTTCTTTAAAGATGCCACTAAGAAGTGCCTCATATCAATTGCTTTAATTGAGCTACTTTAAAGATGCCACTAAGAAGTTTTGATAGGGCTGTCAATGGGTCTGGTTTGGGTTGGGACCAGTTAGAATTGAACCAACCCGATGGGAATTGAGGATTCGGAATTGAATTGGACCCAATAGGGTCTATAATTTTTAGACACATAATCAAACCGATTGCTTGTCAAGATAATAGAGTCCTGATAGATCCGATTATAATAAATAAATAAATACATTTAAAATAGATTAAATATTATATATTATGCATTATATATTATATATATTATGTATTATATGAATATAATTCAGGTTGGGTTTTAATCAGTTCGAAACTGGGTGGAACTAGTTCTGAACCAATAATAATCAGGGCACAGAACCGATCCGTCGGTTTCAGTTATTGGAACTAGAACTGGCCCAATCGATTCGGTCCATTGAATCCGACCCGACCCATTGACAGCCATGCATAGAGCAATGCAAGCAGTTGTATATGTTGTGTTTATAGAAACAAATTCTTTTGATTTTCACCATCCGATTAAATTTGGGAAAAGGGAGAAACTTGGGAAAATAAAATTCTATTGTTGACGAAACAAGAGCGTCTGAAAACTCCCTATTTTATTATATGGATTATATGGAAATACCAAATCGATTAATTTGGTTAATTGGATTTTCAGGTCGGTTTAGGGGTGCTCACGGTTTGAGTAATCAAACCGTGGGCTTATTTTTGAAACCGGATTGGGGTTACCGGTTTTTGGAAAACAGGTAACCGAAACTGAACCAAAACCAATCGCTTAACCGGTTGACTGGTTCAGTTAACCGTAGGTTTGGTTCATCGGTTCATTAATTTTTTATTATTTATAATATATTATTAAAATATCTAAATATATAATAAAACACTAAAATACATATAATATTATATATTAAATAAAAATAAAATATTATATATTATAAATACATATATTGCATATTTATTAATTTATAATGTATAAAAAATATAAAATATATAAAATACTGAATCGAAACTGAACCAACCGGTTCGGGTTAACCGAACCCGAACTTTCGATTCGGTTTTGATCGGTTCGGTTTTTCAGTTTGTCTTTCTCACCTTCGATTTTATTGAAAAATGAAAACCCTTTGATGCAATGGTTGGGTTAGGGTTTCACTTTATTCTTTAAAAGGGTTGAAGCAGCCGGAGAAACCCTTTCGTTGGTTTGGGGACGAAAGACACCCGGCGCTGCTCTTT